GGAGGGGGTCTACCACTACAGCTGCCAGGGAGCTGCTTTTTTTTCTTTTTTTTTTTTTTTTTTTTCTCTTCTTCTTCCTTTCTCTCTTTTCCTCTTCCCACCTCCCCTTTTTGTAATTCACCCAATTTGTCGGTCCAAATGAAACAGCAAAAGGTTAGAGTGTGGAGTAATTAACAGCAGCTAGCCTAATGAAATTAGGAGGGGGCGGTAGACTGGAAGGATCAATACCTCGCTTAGAGTGAAGCAAGAGGGGGGGGGATTGTCCAGGGAAAACACACATATACAGACCACTTAATAATAATAAGCTGATGAAAAGGCAACATGTTGTCCACTTGTAAATCAAAATTGGTTCGAACACACTCCGACATTATTGCCGTCTAGTAATTGTGTTAAAGGAAAGCTGCTCCTTGTGCACACTCATGAAGTGTACAGGATTTACGCCACTTCGTGTGGTTTGCTGAGAGGGTTTCCCTTTATTGAATGTCAATAAGTACATCAATACACTTTGGACAACTGAACACCAATGCAGAGGGAAATGGGGATTGTATTTATCTAAGCCTACACTTAAGTATATTGAAGACTTTATTAGCCCCTTTTGATGAGGTGTTTTGTTTGCAACAGTTTTATCACGCTGTCTAAGACATGCTGCGTTTGCCAGAAATATAAGGGATGCAAACTTGAACTCTGCCCACTGTTTCTTGGCTGAGACATCCACGTCTCTTGTGCATGCACACACGAGCAGATGGCATGCACGTCCAAGTTTTCCATAGTGGATATTTGTATTACGCGTGCATATGTCTGAATGTGTGTGACTGTGACACGGCTACCTGACAAAGCTGTCATTTTTCTTCTATTGATGAATCCAGCCACGTTCATCTCACCCGTAGGGATAACTAGCTGAATTGAACAGCTCCTGAGTCAGTCAAAACAAATGTGAAATACGCAAGGATGAGCTTTGCCAGCTCAAGAGACTATGGCTAGCTGGCATGCTTCCTGTCTCTTTGCCTCACTCTGTGCTTCTCCCCACCTTCAAAGGTATTTACACTATGGAGTACACTGTAATGTGGGAGGCTGTAGAGATGGGAGCAGCAGATCTCATTAGTGTTAAACTATTAGGAGCATGGGGACCCCTGGGATGAGGGTCTTTTCAAAGCTTTCAGTCCAACTTGAAGTTACCACATCATACAGTCTTTAATTTTTTCACAAACTGCAGCAAAGCGTCTACAGGTACCGTTTTTTAAGACTTTGACCTTACTGCTAATTGATACAACTCAACAAAGCTTTGTACTGTGATGCTGTCCTATTCCTGACAGATTGATGAGGTCAGCCAATTTAGTATGGACGTATAAGCGCTGGGTTTTTATTTTCTATGTGATATTAATGTAGTGGAATACGTCCTTCCTTGTGAAGCCAACTGATCATTTTGACACCTGTCATCGTAATTGCTGAAAATGAGCACAAGGAATATGAAGTTGATTGTTATTCCTTATCTCGAGTTGACGGGGCTCTGTGTCATCAAGCTCACAGAGGTTAAGGGGAAAAACGATCAAAGAAATGGAAATTTGCTGTGTTTTAAGGCACGTGTGAGACAGCTCTCCAAGAATTGTCACTTATCACTTAAAGTAAATTGCTGTGTTTGCTGTTGCCCCCCCCCCCCCATCATTACTTGTAACAAGCAAGCTTTCCTGTTAGCTCCATCTTTTATTGCTCCGATATCACAGTATAGGAATTTTGAAATGAAACACAAGCCTACTAATGAAATTAACCACCAACTGTGCTTATGTTGGCAACCCAATAGTTGTGTAAAAGATGTTGCTTAGCTTTCATGCTGCTTTTAAAGAGGCATTTAAAGTAATACATGCAGAACTCTTTGGCCTGTTGTTGTAAGTTAGAAATCTAGATTCATTTAGATTAATTTTTATACTCTAAATGTACTAAGGGAGATTTACTAGCATATGTTCAAAAGATGATGGGAAATTCTCTTTTTAATATCCCTGGTATACACACAGTGGGCTCGTCTTTTTTTTTTTTGCACACTGCAGGCTTCACCGTAGATATAATATTAGCTACCCTCCAGCAACCTATGCACAGCTGGAATGCACTCTCACCTACCTTCAGACTATAACCCTTTCCTTTTACCTCTGTGCCATAGTTCAGATTCTCACTGGAGAAGACAGGTTATTGCAGCCCTCCAACCTGTCTCCAGTTCATACTGTAACTCAGTGCTCGGGAACAGATAGACAGTGCTTTACATGTACAAAAGTAAATATGTGCGTGTGGTGTGAAAGCATGCCATACAGTGTTATAGTATTTTAAATGCTCCTCCCTATATACCTTCATTGTGCAACGACTGTGTCTCAAAATTGGGATTGAGTTGGATACAGAAACATAGCACAATAAGGTCTGATATTTTTAATCAATTATTTATCCAATATTTTAATGATCAGAGTGCCTGGGGTGATCAAAGGCTCGGTTCGAGCTCCACTGCCTCTGCTCACTAAGTCATCCCTCTCTACTTTGATGTGGTTCACCAACAAATGCACTTATCTTAAGCATAGCTCTCTCTCCCAGGCATGCATGTGGGTGCTTTGAAACCGCTAGTTTGAGAGGCGTACATAAAGAGAGAAGGTCAATGACCAATCCATACTGAGGAGGAAAAAAGAAAACTCATACATTTATGGTCTCCAGCAATCAGATGTACAACTGCTATTTCGAATGTCATCCAAGTATGAGACAAGCATAGGTCACCTTCTCAGATCCCTCATGTACATTATCATATATTTAATTGGTTCGCAGGGTCTCTAACTTGAAGTATGTGTCACGAGATGCTGAATAAAACATTATTTGGAGAAGAAACAACTGCTTGATGGCAGCCTCAAGTAAAATCCTGCTTTAAATGACCAGTCACTGGATGCAAATGAGGCCTGACAAATGTTGGTGTGCTCAATTATGCAGAAAAAGGAAAAGAAAAGAACATTTTTAAATTACATTTATTTCAGAAATATTTTACATTCGTTATCCCTTTCAATTAATCTATAGGGGTTAGTGCTGTAGCATGTTCCAGCCATAATGTCAGACTGATGTGTGTAGTATACAGTAGGTGTAGTTGAATTATACTCGGTTTATGACAAGGCTATAAGGTTATAAGACAAATGGAGACATAACCTCTATATGTTTCCATATGCAGCAAATTCCTGTAGATTGTGTCTATATTTTATTATAATCTTTGCATAATAATTGCATGCCTCATATTAAATAGAAAGTAATCCAGACATCAGTAATTGTATATATCAATCCTTTCTAATCTTAACGATTATGGTAACTGCACTTTTGAGATCATAGTTCATGGATTTAGTATAATATTTTACGAATGGACCACCCAATGAATGCAGGGGCCTTATAGCAGGGCAGTTGAGCTAGCAACAAAAAAGGTTAAATAATGACTTTGAAACATCACCTTTTGTGCTAAATGATATAATATTATTTTACATCATCTATTTCAGACAATAAACCTTTTCAACATGGGCACAGCACAGCAAGCTGAAAACTAAATCCTGACTTGTTATGAAGTTCTTATTGCTAGGAAACAGTTGCCTATTTCTACATCCAGCTGACAAAAAGCAATGCAACATTGTCATTCATTAGGAGTCACGTTTCTCTCCACCTGACAAATGCAAGTCCAATGTTTACCGTAACTGTTAGCTCGGTTTTGGTCTCCACCAACTGCTGTGGGAAATATCTTGGCTCTTTAGCTGCTAAATGCTCCACTATGTTCACCAGTAGGTTGCTGACTTTTTCCCCCATTAGGTACTGGTTAGGCAGTTAATCAGAGCTATTTTGCTGAAAACAGCCCTTCTACTGTGACATGTTTGAGGTTGGTCATAACATGAAGTTATTGTTGTTAAGTAACAGCCACAACTCAGAGCAGAACAGAGCGGAAAAATTCAACGGTATTCAACAATATTCACTCTAGTTTGACTAGATACCTCATGGCAATTCCATGATTGTATGTTGACCTGTATACATTTCTTACATATGCCCTTCTCCAACTCGAAACATGACTTATTATAAATAATCTACAATACAATGGTTTTACTGTGCCGTTATTTGTCAGAAGTTTGGAGACCATTTCGTTCAGTTGTCCACCATGAAGCTCCATTTTGTTTTGATGAATAGCTTTGGGTGTACGGCTCTATTGCTCAGTTAGCAGCATCCCTGGGTGAACAATTATAGTGGGATAATCTGTTGACATGAATGTGTTTCCTGTTCATTGTCTTACCATTCTACCCCAGCAGTCCTTTCTGATTCTCCCTGTCTAAGTGGCTCCTCAGTGCCAGATTTATTTTATTTTCTTTGAAAATCAAGTCATGTAGATTATTATACACAGTACAAAGAAAACACAATTGGTGATTACAAATTAAATACTCTTATCTCTCTGTGAGTTATCTCAGTCCCCAGAGAGAGGATGCTATTTTGCAGGCTTGCAGTTGTCTTTTGTTCCCAATTTAGAAGCTTGTCGCTGTTTATTGTTAATTTTTGATGCTTCATTTGATATTCTTTTCACTTTCCTGCCTGACATGCCGAGAAAACATCTTTATCGAAGTGTCAGTTGTATGGCTTGTGTTGTCAGGATGTCAGGTTTGCCCTATTCTTTACATTTCTGGGGAGAGGGTGTGTACTCTGCAGCCCGGTGTGTTGGCGTGCCAACTGAGCACGGAAATATGCTTCACAAAACTCTGGTTCTGTGGAAGAAATCAATATGTATCCTAAATCTCAATTCCAACTTAAAAAAAGCCTTTAAACCACAAAATCTATGAGGCTGTCAATTGTGAACCCTGACTGACTTTACGAAGACTGGAAAGTTCCCAGTGTAGTTTCCTTTGTTGGTTTCACACACACACCCACACACACACACACACACACACACACACACTTCCATAGTAAATGCTCTGTAGAGTTACAGTCGGACAGTGATGTGAAATGTCTTTTTGTCTTTGCAGGAGGCCTGTCAACTTGGCAAGATAACCTCTGTGAACGTAAGTCTGTTCTCTGCTCCTTCTTGCATGTACATTTCCATAAGCATGAAGTTTATTACCATATTTTACACAAGTTACACCTATGTTAACATTAGTAAATGTTATAAATGTCTTAAAAATATAATATCTATAATATGATATAGATGGAAGGTTTTCGTCCAATAGCGATGATTAATCTATTAATGTTCATGACTCCACTTCTTTTTTAAATATTTTTCTGTAAAGTTACTAAGTCACTGTCATGACCATATTTTTGCATGGATTCTTACATCCTTGTAGTATTGTATTGGTACTAGTGCAGCGCCCGTTTAAAATATGCTTGCTCAGAACCGGCAGAATACTTGGAATGTGGTGTAGCTGGTTGCAGTTTTCTCAAATACCGCTCATACAAACAATTTAACCGAGCAATACACCTGTCAATCATAGTTGCGGCACACACCCAAGTCGCGGCCTCTCAAGGTGAGAAACAACAGAGAAATACACAGATTCACGGGAAAAAAAATTCCAGGGGCAACCTTTACCGTGAGGCAAGGTAGGCAACTGCCTCAGGGCACAACTAAAATGGCCCCAAACAGCTATAGATTTATTATGATCTTTAGATATTACAAATATTGAATTACCATACTGTCATTGTGCCCCGAAATAACTTTCAATAGGGCCCAGCAAGCCCTCAGAAAATAGGCTTTCCGAGACCAAATAAATTAAATATAAAAAAGCACCACTCTAAATCTTGTGCTCAGCAGAGATGTGCTCATACGTTTTTTGTAAATAAGTTGTTCACTATGAAAAAGCATTACAAATATGACATATTGATTGACCAAAACAACCAAAAGTTAACTAGTTGACGAAGAGGGGGGTAACACTTCTTACTGTGTACTTTACGTGACAACATTTCTTTACTGGTTATGTTTTGCTGATTCAGATTTGACTCAAAAAATACAACAATTAAAATATAATGCATTATTATTCATTAAACTGATTTGCATTATATTAGAATTGAAAGCATCTTGAACAGAAGTAAGTTTAATGTGCAGCAGAATTAAGAATTGTTTTTGGGGTACTTTTTCTACCCTTCCCAATACCAACATTCCCAGTTAGAGAAATGGTGAAAAGTATTAGCAGAAACATAGCAGAAATACACGTGGTGGAGGTTCGCTTACTTTGACATAATCACCGCGGTTATAAAGTAGAGCATGGACTCAATTAGCAGAGGTATTTTGGTGGCGGTAACGTTATTAGTGTCTTACACCAGGGAAATCTAGTCTTGCTCACGGGGGAAAAACACACCCAAGTTGCAGCATGCTGATGGTCAGAAACACTGGTGAAACACTCTCTGGTTCGCTTCTGCTTTCAGTTGGCTATCTGCTCGTATTGACTCCAGAGAAGTGAAGAAGAGTTTGGTTGTAGAGTGAACTGCAGTCAATGAGCTGCGGTCTAACATCCTCTACTCAGTCTGCAGAGCCCTGAAGCCCCGCCCCTACTACTTCACAGAGCCCTGTTCGCTTGTTTATTCAAAGTTTATTATTATTGAACATGTCATGTGAACGAATTGCACCATATTCGACATTGGCACTCCCTTGGGTCCTTACATACGTACATAACCCTTCTGTTACGTTTTCCTGTGAGCAAAAATGTCTTTACTTTCAATTGTCTGTATTGTTGCTCGTTCACGTGAAATATTCAACTCAGCTCGAAAGGGCATTTCCCACTTCCTTACAAAATGCCACTAACATTAAACTCAATTGTGTTGTGGCATGTGACCGTCATACCATCTCTTATCTTTTCAGTGTTTCAGGTCCTCTCTTTATCTTGCAGCTCATGTCCGCACACAGAGTTCACGAGTCTTTGGTCAATGAGAGCAGGACTGCACAATAGCATGCTGTTCAAACCTTCTCAATTGATAACATATGACTACACATTATGAAAGTGTTTTCGTTCTCAGGGGAACATCACAGTTCAGTGTAAGACCCTGCTTTGCTCAGACTGGAACATATTACTAATACTGAGAAGATCATCATAGCATATGACTCAATAATGGTTGGAAATGTTAGAATTTGATTTGTCAAAAATCACCCAGTAATCTCTCAACCCACTTGCTACAATCACCTCCTTCTTGAGTGTTCCCGCTAACTCATCATTTCACACACAGTGGCATATCACCTCAAACGAAATAGGCTGAGCTGGAACAGCATGTTCAAAAACAAAAGGATGCACCCGCAAAGTAAAATCACTAACAGTTGAGTGGATGATGCACGATCTTGGCATTATGCAGAATAGGGACATGTTGGACAGCATTTTTGGGATAAATACCGTAACATTGCTGTTGTTTTTTATATTTTATTTATTTCCTACACATAAGACATGTGCAACATGACAAATCACCATCTCCTCTGAACAGATTTATGCAGGTCTAGGTGTGCCCGCAAGCTGATCTTTATCTGAAATGGCAGAGCCAATCTCCCCTGATTCACTCCTAAGTGGTCCCTGTTTATCACTCAAAGTGAGGTGGTTGTCAGCCAAGTCCTTCTCTGTGCAGCACTGACTTCTTGCTATTTCTAGAGAGCTTTAGTTGGGGGAAATGCACAATACAACCGAAAGAGCTGTGGCCTACCAAAGGAAAAGGTTGCGGCCACCTGGCCTCTCCTCCCTCTATATCTAAGAATAACGGACTTCTAATCCGGTAACCTGTGAATCCAGCCCTATCTGCTTATTGTCTGGGTGCTTCCCAGAGGGAGGGTTTTGGATTGGCTTGCATGTTGTATGGCAGAACCTGGCATGCATCTCTTCTGTTCATTTTATCGCTGTGTACATACTTCTCAAGGCAGTGTTTTATCTGGCTGAACGGGCTTTGTTTGGTCTTGATATCTCTTACCGCAGCTTGTCTTTGCTTTATGGATTTCTGGCAGCTTCTTCAAATAAGTGATAATGCTTAGCAAAACACTCCCCTTGACTCCTCGATGAATGTTTGTGTTTGTTTGTCATGTTTATCTTTCAACATAATGTTAAATTCACATTAGTCATTGAAAACTTTTATTTATTTAAGACCAATTAATGGTATTTAATTGTAATTAATATTGTAGCTCTATACGACTTAGTACTGAGTGCGTCGTGAAATCAAATTAGACTTTTTCTTAACATCTGGCAGCAACTTGAATGGGCTTGAATAAACAGCCGTCTAAAAATGAAGATACTCCCTTATGCAAAATGATTATGTCCTAATTGTCACGGACAGCTGTTTGTTCTAATAGATTTTGGATGCCATTGTTGGAGCAAGTTTCCAATAATTAGAGTCATGTGGAGAGGAAGCATGCTTTTTGTAGAGCTGCCAACCTTTCATAAGTGGGCTCTTTCTTTTGCTGGAACCTGGACATTGCTTTTTGCGTGCATCCTCCAGTAAATTGAGAAACAGCTGCCAACGCCGTTTGAGAAAAAGTAGATATTTAGACTACTTGAAAGCGTGGGCAAACATGGCACACATTATATGAATTTGCCAGCAAGGTATTCATCTCTGTCTCAGACAATGAATAAAACCGCAGGAGGAGGGGGGGAAAACATTCCTCTCTATATGGAACCATCGAAATACACCTCATGATTTGGCAACAGAAGGTGTCACGACACATGCAGTAAAAACAAGATACATTTCAAGAAGTCCCGCATCATATATTTGTATGTTTTTAGAAATAAGTGCGGTGCATGTTTTCTTTCTTATTCTAATACAAACAACAACAAAAAGCTTCTGTTTTGGAGTTGTTTTCTCACAAGTGTTGAAGGTTGTGCGTTTATTTTTGTTTGTCTTTGACTCTATGCCCCTTTTGCACTCTTATTTCTTATGTCTTACTAGCATACACACACACACACACACACACACACACACACACACACACAGCTATTTGTGGCCTCAGGATCTAGATGAATCAAGTAAATAGAATATTTAACTAGCTGTTTCAACATCACAGCATTGAAAACCATTCAGTTGTGCTTTCAGGCTACTAATTGTGTGGATTTAGGTTAGTCAACCCTCTCTGATAGTTTTTAAATGAAGCTTTTTGTGCACTTGCTTTTTGGCAGTGTGTCCTTCATTAGTGCCAGACTTTATTTCACTCTCCCTCTCTCCTATTTTCCAAGCCTGATTCAGTCTTATCAAAGAACAATACGCGCTTATCTATGCACTATAGTGGCGAAGGAAAAATATGTTCGCACAGAGACATCGCCTCCTCCTGAGCATAAGGGAGCATGTGTTTATGATGTTTTTAATTCAGGACACACGTATTGCTCTTGTTGCTACTGTGATGAAGAAATCAAGATAGTAATTTGTGCTCCAGTTGTATTTGCTCTTGAAAAAATAAATCTCTTATCAGCTTGAATAATGGGATGAATAAAATTCACAGCAAAAACCGCAGCTGAGGGTGTAATTAAGTTTTATGTTTTTTATCGTCCTATACGTTGTGATGCAGTATGATGCTACTGAGGGAGTCATGTGAAGACATGAATTCAAGCTAAGGTATATTTCACAGTGACAATTTTACAATTTTACAGCCTCAAAGCCAAGTCAGATCGCCTCACTCCTGGTATCTCCAGTACAGATTGCCCACTGTGCCTTACCATGTGAATTATTGTAAGTTTATGGTGTGTTCTCTGGAGGAATCACTTACCTGTTAGCAGACATCACTGCACACACAGGATGTGTTTTCTTTTTTAGCTCCAAAGAAAGGTCGCAACGTGAACTTTTGTAAACCACCAGAGAAATCAAAGAGGCCTGCACCTTTCACAAGAAAATGCCCACACTCCTGTGATCCCCAAGACTTTACAAATCAAAGTCTCAGCCTTCACACACATTCCCACTTCGTTTGTGTCTAAACTGGGTGAGAAGCAAAACTAGCACATAGTTCAACCTCTTAATACACATCCTATCTAGTCACAGGATAAGAAGTCTCAATTATAAACCTTTTAGTCAGTTTATTATCTGAAAAGTAATTCACTAAACTCATAAGATCAGAAATTATTTTTGGGTTATGAGGTCTCTGTTTCAATTAGTCACCCCCCCACCACCCCCGGTGACAGGATGCAATTTGGGCATATTTGTCAACTAAAATCAGGCAAAAGTGATGAATGCAGTGCTGGGCAAGTAACAACAACACTTGATAAAATCGAGCAAGGGTTTCCCTTGTAACCGCTACTCATTCATGCATAAATGAGCATTGTTGTCACCACTCATATTAATAGTCTTTGTTTGTCAGTGTTGGTGTATCAAGTCTCTCTTTAGGAGCAGAGAGAATACCTGTAAAGGATACTACCAATGTGCATTCATCCCTGGAATAATGTGTAATTTTAGATACCTCTCTCTGGTGGTCAATTTTGATAGAAAGACAGTGTAGCAATAACTGAGGTCAAGGGTCGAACATTGAATTGATTATGACATTTGCTTTTTAACAAGGTTGTTAGTAGTAAGCCAGTTGACAATTGGAGTCACACAGGACACGAGCAAACGGACTCCTGGGTAAAAGTCACGTGTTTGTTTAACCGATTCATCCACCTTTTCCCGACGCGGACTTTCTCGCTCTTTATACTTTTTCACCTGACTTCCAGTGCACTTAACCTGAGCCTCTAATGTTGCTGCAGCGCAAAATTACACACGATAAATGCATGGTCAACACACAAACTGACTTAAGAAATTGGTTATTCGCCAATGTGGCTATTTACACCCGAATGCATATATAGCATGGCAGACACAAGCACCCAGGGATCCGTAGACAACAATGCTATTTGCACCTAACCGACTTGAGCACTTTCCTATCTTTAATTCTTTTTTTTTTTCTCCCACTTTTTTCCAACAGTTTCTAACAGAACATCCCTTGTTTGTTGGTGTGCTCCAGACCCAGCGCCGCGTGACGTTCCATCTTCCAGACGGTTCCCAAGAGAGTTGCAGCGACAGCGGGCTGGGAGACCCGGAGCCTAGCAGCACAGCCAGCACCACCCAACCTCTTCCCCTCAGTTTCCCCCAGGAGGAGTACTATGAGCAAACGTCACCAAACAGCCGCACCGAGGGAGATGGAAACTCAGACCCCGAATCTAGTGAGTACTGAATTTTGCTCAGACAGCAGGCAAATCTGTTATTTTTACGTTTTATTTTTTATCATTTTGTTGTGATTTTTTAGGCTGACTCTCCATAATATAGTTTACAAGTGACCATCTGTGTTTTCGGACAGTAAAATAATTCACTGAGATTACAGCTGGGATTGTCATAGAAACAAGACATCCTTGCAAACATTTAACAAGGTACCACGTTCTGGAAAAAAAATGACTAACAAACGAGATACACAGAAAAGTTGCTTTGCTATACCTGCTGTTTTTTTTTTAGATGAGTAGGACAACAGTTTTGTTGCACAAGAAGTCAACCAAGACGGAGGGCTGCATTTCTGAGAGAGAAATAAAACCCAGCAGTTTTATGTGTTAAGATTTAAAACCAAAAACCATCTCAGTCATTTTAGAAAAGCTAATTAATTGGATTTGATCAAAACAAGCTGTGAATCTGTTGTCATGGGAGTGCAGAAATTATATTAATGACAATTAATTTTGTAAGGTACAATTTTGTAAATGTTGTCCAATGCTAAGCTGTAGAAGGTAAGGGAATTCAACCTCTGAAGTTGGAACTGAATTTATTCAAATAATTCACAAGACAGCTGTCACTGCCTGGCTTACTGCCCAATGATGTTCTCCATAAAAAGCCCCATTGAACGCGGGGAAGCAACACTCCTTCCTCATACATATACAACAGATTTCTTTTAAACGCATTGCTCAAATAACTGGCTTAGGGGGAAAAGAAGTGTGCTTAAGACACACCACAGAGGATCCTGGGTTTTTCCACCAGTGGTAGTGTAGATCCAAAGCCTGTGCACCAGCAGCATGCCAATGATGCTGCTGACATGATTTTGCTCCACCTTAACATGAACAAGGCTATTCTCAGTCCCATATCCCTGTCCTTGTCACATACCAACCCCCTCCACTTCAAGCTGGATATTCTGGTCCTGGTGGGTTGGATTATATTTTCTGGAGGTAACCCTGCATCATATATTGCAGGCTGGATCGAGGCTCACATCGGAGCAGACCTTCACTCCTCCTGTGGCCCGTGTGTATCACTGCTAGAAACGCTTTAGCCATTGCACAGAGTTACTTGTCAAAAAAAATAAGTCCGTTTTTTTTTGTTATCTATCCAGCAGAGAAAATCTACAGCACAGGTGGAAATAGATTGGTTTGCATGCGCCTATGTGCAGTATAGCCGTTGTGTCATATCTGTAAGTGAGACAACAGTCCTTGGTGCATCTGCCTCCCCGGCAGCTGCGCTGACAGGTCCGGGGCTTGGGTGTCAGTGTGAGTGTGATTGTGAATGCATTTGTTAGACATTAGACAAGATGGGTGACATCCTGGCGATGGCTTCCTGTTCATTTACATGCAAAGGTCCGTCCCATATGTGATTTTTCTATTTTTGATAAGAGGATATTGCAAGCAATCTTTTTTTACAAGACACACAACCAGCTGACCTCCATATTCCCCCACACAACAAACACACACACACACACATGCACATATCTGTACACCAGGCACGTGTATAAACACAGATTCAAATGCATACATCTAATGCTCAAACCTCTCCTCCCCAGCTGTTCACTTTAATGTATTCACCATGGTGACAGCAGTGATTCATATATGGGACTCATTCACATACAGAGGCAATTGCTCATCATCTCATTAATATTCAGTGACATAAACATCTCATACCTCATAAACTTACTCAAATACTGCACTTATTACCCATTTTCCCTCTGGGGTAATATTTGTTGAAGTGGATTAGTTTTAGATAGAAGACCATGCTAATGTGGTAAATGCATGTGTACTTTTACAAATTGCTGCATTAAAAATCAGAGGGAGAGTGTTAACAGACTAACCAAGAGTGTAATATTGGAGTCTAATATTAGTAGTTGGATATTAGAAAAGTAATTTTACTTATTTGACCACAAAGCTCTGAGAAATACTATGTTGTAACCTTGATGGAGGGTTGTATAAACACCATATAAGAAGTGATTTGATTATTTATACATACATATATATCATTCCTTATGCAATATATGTAGAACTATGCAGCTTTCACATATCTATTGTTTGCCTTTCCAGGCTGCTAAGAAATAGTAATATTAAATATGAACTTCCTCTAAGAATTGAATGATTAAATATTCTCAACTAAAGTCATTTGCTTTTAGATGCTGCAGATTTAACACACACTTGCACACCCGTCCGTACATCATTTGAAGACGGAGTGAGGGACGCCTGACTCATCTGGCTCCATTTTCTTCTTCCAGAGGTTTAAAGATAAACTCTGACTCTGTTCTGCTCAGTTCAAAAGGAGAGATGGATCCTGTGCATGTTGACCATCTCAGAGATAAGTGCGTTGGTGACAGAGGGGGGTCTAAGATGGATTTGATATGGTTTTATCAATGAGCACCAGGCTGGCATGGCGGTGGCAATCTCTTATTATGTCGACTGAATTTGTAAAGCAGAAGGAACAAGGAAAAGTGGGGAGAGGAGATGGAATGACTCCAAGTGAAGAAGAGGAAATAGAGCTGAGAGATTGAATGACTGAAGCGTGGAGTCGCTAGAAAGAGAATTCCAGGAGTCAAATGCGGTTTTGTTTCGTAAAGGTGCCTCAGCTTGGACCAGAATGTCAGCTTGCTGAATAATTGTCCGTGCCAAAGGCAAGCCATGTGGCCTTCTTATGACAATGAATTTCTCAACTCCTCTTTAAACCTGCATCTTTATTAGGCCACCCACTCTTGAAATAAAGTTCATATGACATTTTATGTTTCTATTATTTATGAGTTAGGCGGCTGTTCATTTTATAGGCTCTTGCTTCCCCCTCCAGGCTTTCTTCACCGCCCGTCATCAGTCTCTGTGCTGTCGCCTCTTTTGTCACACACTGTTCCAAAGGTTTTGATATTTCCTCCCCTGCCTCGACAAATAGATAAAAGCTGCAAATTAATATCATTAGCATGTGTGTTTTGAGGTCCAACCCCCATACGTCTTGACAGCTGGCTCTTACAAAACTACACATCAAGAACAATTTGGCATGATGAATCGTACCTGTCCCTTTAAGCCAAATTGCAACACTTCATCAAAACATCAGAAACAGGAACGCATAATGATATGCGACGCATCTCTTCCCTCAAATAAGAAGGATGCGCTGTTTCAGTTGGCGTTCTAGTGGCTCAGTATCCTCGATATGGGTTTACAGAGGTTCACCACAGGCATCAGAAGTGACTGACTTTTCCTGGATTCACAAAGTGCATGTGATTCTGTTGTTTTTCAACAGTGAGCATTGGTCTTGTTCCGTGTGACGTGAATGCACTCGTGATCAGTTAAGATTTGTTGACATTAATGATTAAATCCTGTGTATTCCTTCTGTTGTTGACTTGATGATGTCCTGGACATTTTTTTCTCTGAATGATGGGAATCATCATGTCATGAACAGCACACAGAGCTAAGTCCTCAGACAAAGAGCAGCAAAGTGGGAGCAAATCCCTGAGTCGAAATCTTTCACATTTTTCAAACAATACACAATTCTGTTCTCTGGGCGATTTGTAATATACTTATTTCTTTCCCCTGTTGTTGGAGCTGAGGGATTTAAGAGCTTGTGCTTTTTGCCCACTTACAAGCAACTCACTACAGGCAGTTTTGAAGCAGTGCATTAGTCTCTGGGAGAACCATGAAAAGCTGTACAATATAGTGCCGTATCTTAATCTGTGGCATATGGCTTTCAAATGACCAGCTTACACCTTGTCTGTCTAAGATCTAAATCTGCTATTAAAATAAGCCAATCCTTTTTAAACACTGCAAGTATAATGAGATTATCGTTTTAAACGTGCTGCTAGTGTATTATAAAACTACAGACTTTTCACCAAAGGGAATTGCTTCATCAAATAACAGAGTTCAATCAATGATTTTGTTTGATATTTAAATTATTTTTACTTTATTTGTGCAATTTTGTGTCCAAGGCTTTTATAGTTCATTATATAATTCCTGATGCCAGTAGACAAATAATCAGATTAAAGGCTTGCTGGGTTCATACTTTGTGGGGGTTACATTCCCAACTCTTTGATTTCTGTAGGTCTAGAATTTGCATAATAGCTCTCAGACTGAATTTGCGGTTGACTGATTTACAACTGCCTTTTTTTTGGAAAAATCTAGTGTGAAGGGACCACTTGAATTTTTAATACTTTTCAAACCTCTAACTTATTACAGCGTGTCTGGCCGCCAATGCCAAGCTTGTGCTAAGATTGGAATTCAACTGTCTAGACACAATCTGCCCATAAATAAAGGGATTTCAAGAGGAAGCATGAAAAAACAAAAAGTCAGTTGGTTGTGATTGGAACTCCTCAACTAAGCGGGACCGGCCTCTGTGTAACACTGTTGAACTGCATTTTGTCATACATGCCAATAGTTTAGCACATCATTATGTGACAGCAACAACGCCAAAGTGTTCAGTTGAGTAAGCTACATTAATTATTCATATGAGTCCAATCTCAGTTTCACTTTGAGGGTTCTCAAATGCAATTAGAAGTAATGAATGTGCTTCTTAATTACAATCATTTGTGCAAATTTCCATTCCCCGTTGAATTTTTCTGTAGAAACATTGTGACACTGACCAATGGTATATCATTTGCAATGTGACTAAATCCATTCAGCATAGAACAATTAGCTGTAATTAGTGTTACAGTGTCATCAGCGACCAGGGGGAATGACTAAGCTGACATGCAAAGGAGAAGAGGACCCTTGTTCGGAGAGTTTAAAGTCCAACGTTGTACCAAGATCCAGATAATTGGCTGACAGGTTAGAAAGATGATGAACTGTTGTAAGACTCTAAGGCTTAGTTTTTTTTTTTCCCAACTTCTGATTCATGTAAAATTGGCTGAGGGGGCATTCTCTTTGACAGTAATGCCCTTTCTCCACATTAACACTTAGTGCAACCTTTTACTCCTGCCTGCCCATCTCGTCATCTGCTGCTGACAAATGAGCAGCTTCAA